TAGCGATTTAAAGTCTCCTTAATCCAACAATTGAATTCTTATTTCTTTAATACGCTTTCTTCAAGCTTCTAAAAAATTCTCCTTCCTTACAAAAGAATAAAATCATTTTGCACTAAAAATAAATAAATTTCTAGAGTTAGTAATCAATATTACTTAAACGATACAGATAAAAATTTTCATTTTCAACATCTTCGGGACAGCAAAAAATTTTTTACTATTTTTTAAATTACTCACTTATAATATTTACAATTTTATTTTGGATATTTTTAGCGTAAAGAAATAAACTACGATTAAAAATAACAGAATGAACATATATGTATATGTAATATGTTACATATATAAATATACAGGTATATAAGATTACGTATTTAAAAATTTAAGTAAGATATACAAACACTTATACTATATACATAAAATATTATATACATAAGAATTTCTGTTCATCTGTTACTTTTAATCTTATTGTACTGTACTTCTCTAAGTCAGAAAATATATCCAAAATGAAAGTATAAATATATTTACACGTATTAATATTAGTCTTTGTACGTTTGTACATTGTCGGGGTAAAATCGTCCGACATACGATTTTCCGCGCTTTTACGGATTTTCAAACGAACAGCGGTGTTGTCACCATGGGAACGCCGATCAGACAACGTTGGAAACTCGACCGCGGATTGGCTGCAAGACATCGTACCACCAGCGGACGTCTTGTAGCGCTACTAAGCGCTGATTGGTAGAATTTCATTTCTCTCAATCCGTATAAAAGGATTGAGTTTAGGCGGGAAGTTTAGTTCGCCTAGGACACATCAAGGGAACTCATGTTCGTTCTGACTTCGTGTAAGCGGGCCTAGAAGATTGTTTCGTCTCGTTGTGCGGTAACTAACGTTGGAAGAAGTTCGCCGCAAGGTGTCTTTTCGACGGACCTGTTGTCGTGGATTAAAAGTATTTGAACTTTGTTACACCTGACGTTTTGTAATTGTTGTTTGTGAACTTTTGTAACTGTACATACGTTTAACTTGTAATATAAACGTCTTTGTGAAAATTCAGTAACGTCTATTTAAATTCTCGTTGTGAATTTGACTTACATATTATATTAAATATATTAATATATATACAGTCGACCCCCCTATAACGTACGTTCCTATAACGTACCTCCTATAACGTCGTTTAGCGAGAAGATTGCTAGAGTCTGGACCAATAGTGGATGAGCAGCCGAACTACTTACCTCCGACCCTGTGCCACGCTACGGAGCGGCTAAATTGAGTTTGCTATCGTCTGTTTAGTATTATATATAAATTATATATAAATTAGGTACTGTACATATAATTATATATTAATTATATATAAATTAGGTACTGTATATATAATTATATATTAACTTAATTTATTGTAACTTTATTATAATTATATATATGCTTTCTGCCGCCTGGCAACACGCTACGGAGATTTTAGGCTAGTAAGTTGAGTTTATTATCGTCTGCACAGTATGTAAATTAGGTACCGTAAGTCTAATACAGCACTAATTTTATACATTTCTTGTGAAAGAAACACTTCTTATTCAACGTCCATAAAAATTATTTATATTAATGATGTCTCCAAAGGTCAAGTTATTTTTCTGCGATAAATTCGTTATTAGAAATCGCGGCCGCCGTTTAATGTGCTGTTCCGCGATGAAAACCAGCTTTAAGCAACGGCGTAGTCGAACGGTACACACTCGGTAAGTAATCCTATAATTTTTTGTTTATAGCATAGTTTATACGGATTATTCCCAAAAAATTATACGTGTTTTGGAAATGTTGAGTGGAATTAGTCTAGAATCGGTTAATTTTATAGAAGAAAACCTTTCGAACAGCCTTAGTCCGTAAAGTTCCCACCTATCGGGCTGCGATTGGCTCATGTATTTAATCGTTCCTACAACGTAATTTTCGGTTAGCGTGGAACGTATCTAAGCGTTATAGGGGGGTCTACTGTATAATAAAAATCAAAATTTAGATTTTATATGGAAATTTAGAATATTCTTGTAATTTTCAGCTCAAATGGCACAAAGTTCTAAGTATATCAGTTAAAAATTACTTACATATGCAGAATTATAAATGAAGTATATTGCCACAAGTAATTTCTCACGTTGCCAACGGACCCTAACTGCAACAGTTCTGACCAACACGAACGAGATGCGAAAGAAACATTACGAAATTCTAAATCGTATTCGATCTCGGATTCTCAACGAAATATAAATAAATCCTTATTACTTAAAGTATTTAGTTATGGATACTTAAAAATTTAGTTATGGATGGAAGATATGACAATATCAAATCGTATTCGTATTATAAATGATGGATGATATGGATAAATAGCAAAATCAAATCGTCTGAAAATGTTTCTTGTTGAATGTTACATTAAGAATTACATGTAAGTAAAATTCAAATAATGTTCAAATAAAGTTCCAACCGTGACCTCCGATTTCCGGTCCGTCAGAAAGATACGTTACGACTCCTTGAATACAAATTAAGACTATTTATTTTACACTATTTACAGAGATGCACAGCGATACATCTAGATTGCTACTAATTACGAGGTCTTAGTCCAGACCTCTTCTCGATCCAAGTTTCAGGCTAGGCACACTTTTCCTCGATCCAACGTCGCCTTATATCCACGTTTTGAATCCGTTGACCGACCAATCAGGAACTGAGCTGAGCTGAGCTTTCTATCAAGTCAGCTCAGGTTGATATCCTGTCTCAACTTGTCCAGGATGACTCGCCAATCTTCACTTCCCAGACCACGTGCTTCGACAAGATAGGCCTCATTGACAATGTACAATATTGTTTCAATACTGTTCAGTCATCAAAGTATATACAAAGTAAAACTTCCGATTTGTGACTACTCTCAGGGAAAATCAAAAGTGGTCACATATGGTAGGGGACACAAAACAGATTTTTATTTATAAGCCATATTTCGACATGCAGCATTACAGAAACCCTCACACATACATCTTTTATATTCGAAGTAATGCAACATTTCGAAAGCTTTTGAATAAGGCGTAAACATTAGTTATTAAGAATTTGTGATGGAATTTATGATTGTTTACAATTATTATAACAAGTTACTAGCCACCTCAATCCTCTTATTACTGTACAGAAGTTACTTTCCATTCTTTAGTAATATTCATAATATCATTCTTGGAAACAGGAGGAAGAATGCAACTCCATATGGCGAACAAATTGCGTTTGAAATAACCGCATGACTAGACTTGTCAAATGGTCACAAATCAGAAGTTGATGTGTATGAAAGGAATCAAAAATTTATGGAGAAATCAGAGATTTTCATAAAATAAAGGTCTATGTTCCATTAAATCAATTGAAATATCTTGGAGAATTTTTCTTCTAGCCACAAATGAGAGGTGGACACAAAGAGCTTATACATTTGCTTATACATTTCTGTGACACTGCATATACTAAGAAGTTAAATAAAATATATGAGAATAATAAGAAATTATCTAAAATAAACTTATTCATAATTAAGCTTAAATAACTTTAAATAAAATTTATCTCTTTGTTATACCTGTATTTAATTCTTATGATAACAATACCAAAATTTATGTACCAAAATGATTGTTTTTAATTTTAAAATGAAAAGTTTTAGAAAAACTTTTAATTTTAAAGCATTAAATATAATATAGATTTTACTTCAAAATACTTAGAAAGTATTTTGAAGTAAAATCTATATTATATTTAATGCTTTTTTAAATAAATTTCTTGTATAATGTATAAAAAGTTTTCATAAATAAAATCAACATAGCGAAAATATTTACAATATTATATCAAAAATAAAACTTTTTTTGATAAATTTGTTTTCGTGAGCAAACATAATTTATTTAATAAAATTCAATATCACTACACAAAGTAAATTTTCTGGAAATTTTCTACTTTTTCAAATATTTTTTTAGAAATATCATTTATATAAAATCTCATATTATAAACAATTTTTTAGATTATTACTTTGAAAGTTTGATAATTTTTCTACAGGTTTGCAAAGGTGTATTGAAATTAAATGCATTATTTGAGCTAAGAGATTCAACCAAACTCTTTTTACTCAGTAAATTCTTTATAATTACATATTAATTTTGTTTATTAGGAAAATCAATAAAGTTTAAAATATATTTTTCTCAAATTCCATTATAATAAAATATATAATTTTGAAAATTTACAATATATTAATTATATTACATAATTATCTTTACATAATGATTCGCTTAATTAAAATTTTATTTAATTAATTAATTTTTCAGATTAAATTTCATATATGTAATATTGAAATGGACTCCCATGGCTCTCAGTCAACGAGCAGAGGCTACATTTTTTATAAAGAGCGTTTAAAAACTTGAAAATAAATTCAAACTTCGAATTGAATAAGCCTAAGACTGTTCTCGAGTGTTCCGAAAGTCCGAATGCCCAATTATTTTGTGTGTCTATATCTTGAGTTTAGTTTCTTTATTTATTTTTGTGCATTTCATTAGTTTTGTAGTTATGAGTTGGTTGTGTCCTGCTTCCTTGTGATGAAATTAGTGTGTCATTGTCTAAATTGTGTTATCATTGTTTCGTGACAATGTAGACTGTATATTACGCCGAATCCGAAAATATTGCTCATATAGGAAAAAAAATAGGAAAAAATTTTGCATAATTTATGAAATTGGTTTTTCTTGAGATCCTGTTTTCGTGAAATTAGCATTTTATATTTCATCTATAATTATATATTCTTCTACTAATGGGAAATTCTACGTCTTCGGTTTATCATTATCTAATTAATATAATATCGGATATAATCAAACCTGAGTGAAACTTAAGATTCGGCACTGAGTTGAACATTTAATAGAGTTAAACGTTAATTTTACATTAGTTAGGCACTGCATAGATGTTACATTAACTACTAAATACATATGTTACTGTGAAAGACCGAAATTAGAGAATGTCGATATTCTCCGGTGAATGTCGACACATACAAAATACGTCGGTGAAAGACCGAATATTTGGTTATATTATTAGACATCCGCGACTCGACCATCTTACGGAATGGCTTAAGAATGTGGATGAGGCACTTGTTGATTTTGAGGTTAGATTAGTGGATATTGAGGCCAGGATTGGTTCGGGCGGATCGGAATCGGTGAGTTCTTCTCTTATTGATAATATTAGTTCGAAAGTGTCGAAAATGGAACGAGAGATAGATTACATGGATAATCAGCGAAGAATTAATAATGTAATAATACATGGTTTGGAGGAAGGGGCTGGAGAATCGGCTAATGATACTTTAGAGGCAGTTAAATTCTTTGCTATGAATAAGTTGAATTTGCCTGTGTTGAGATATGTTGATGCTAGGCGAGTTGGAAAGAAATTTGGTGATAGGCCTAGAATAATAATTTGTCAGTTTGGGTCTCTTAATGATAAATTATCTTTTAAAAAAGCTGTTTTTGAGTCCCGTAATTTGAATGTATTTGTTAATGATGACTTTTCTCAACGAATAAGAGATATAAGGTATAAGTTAAGGATGTTTGGAAGACAGAAGAAATCTGAAGGTGCTCGGAAAATCCGATTAACTTATGATAAAATATTTATTGATGGAGTGAAATACGGATATGATGAGAATTCGGGTAAAATTATTGTTGTTTCTTCATAGCAACCACAGTCCCAGTGTACCTCTATAATGATATTGAATTGTGCTGGTATTAAAAATAAACCGTACTCATTTTGGAGGTATGCATCGCAATTTGATTTAGTTTTTTTTGTCTGAAACCTGGTATTCTTCTAAAAGTAATAAAAATAATCTGGAAGTTTTATTAGATTATAATTGTATTATTGGTAATGCTTTTAGAGACGGTTGTAGGGGTAGATTTAAGGCTGGATGGTTGCTATTTATAAAAATTTGCTTTTGTTATAAAGTACTTTATAAAGATGATTTTGTGGTTTTGATTAATATTATATTCCCTGTGGGAGAATTTTTGTTATGTTTTGTATATATGCAAGAACATAGTTGGCAGGAAATATTTGAGACACTAAATAATTTTGATTTCAATGAAGATTTAAATTTAATTATTTTGGGTGATTTTAATGCTCGGATGGGTGAGGGAAATGTTATTCCTGACTACATTGGTAATGTTTATGATATTGATTTGGTTAAAAGAAAAAGGAAATCTAAAGATGTGATTGTAAACAGCAGAGGGAGAAAGATGCTTCAATTTTGTGCAGATAAAAATTTATTAATATTAAATGGTAGAACGTCTGGCGATGAAGCTGGGGAATATACATTTGTGTCCAGCTTGGGTTCTTCAGTTATTGATTTTGGTTTAACAACTTTTTCTGTATGGGGTTGTGTTAAGTCGTTTTCTGTGGATGATAATTGTATTTTTTCGGATCACTTTCCTATGGTATTATGTTTGAATAAACCTGGTCAATCTAAGGTGAATAATAATGGGAGCTGGCATGAAAGAATTTTTTGGAATGATGAGTCTATAAATAGTTTTATGTTTGAGTTGGAGAAGTGTCTGTTAGACTGTGATTCTGTTTCTTTATCAGATGTTAGTAAATTAATTGTTGAGATAGCTAGTGCTAATAATATGAATGTAAAACCAAAAGATTATATAAATACTAACAATTGGTTTGATTTAGATTGTCGTTTAATGATTCGTAACAGAAATAGAGTTTGGAGAGCTTTTAAGAAAAATGGTTTGGAATCATACCGTAAATTATTTGTGTTATTTCGTGGCTTAGTTAAAAAGATTTGTTTAGCTAAGAAGAAAAAGTTTTTGTATTCGGTTCAGAATTCTGGGATTTTCCGTAAAAATAATAAATGGTTTTGGAACCTAAGTAAAATTAGAAATTATAATAGTAGAGTGAACATCTCTTTGGAGGAATGGTATACTTATTTTTACTCCTTATATGGTTCTTCACTTCCTTATATTGTAGATTTGTCTGTCTTTAATGAGTGTTTAACTTGGTCTAATGAAATTTTGGATGCAGATATTTTGAACTCTGAATTGAGTTATGTTTTAAATAAAATTAAAGTTGGTACTGCGCCTGGGGATGATGGGATACCTTCTGAATTTTGGAGAATGGATTCTGTTTTTCCGATATTGCTTAGAAGCTTTGATAGGATCTTAAAATCTGGGGAAGTCCCAAAAGATTGGAGTAGTGCTATTTTATGTCCAGTATATAAAAATGGATCTAAGTCGAGCCCTAGTAATTACAGAGGAATTTTTTTGCTGAACTGTGTGTCAAAAATCTTTTGTAATATATTGTATCATAGGTTGGTTAGCTGGTTAAATTTAAACGACGTTTTATTTGAGAATCAGGCCGGATTTCGTGAAAAATATTCTACGCTGGACAATATTTTTATTCTGCATACTCTTATTACTAAGACGTTAATGAAAAAAAGGAGAAAAGTTTATGCATTTTTTGTTGACTTGTCCTCAGCTTTCGATACTGTAGATAGGAATTTAATGTGGAAAAAAACTCTTGAAATATGGTATTAGTTTTAAATTTGTTTCCTTGCTTACTGAATTATATAAAGAGTCTAATGTGAAGATTAAATGGGGTCGTCTTTGTTCTAGGTCTTTTTTTACTGTTACTGGTGTTAAACAGGGCTGTATTTTAAGTCCTGTTTTGTTTAGTATATATTTAAATGATTTAATCGAACAAATAACCAATTCCGACTATGAAGGTATCGAGGTGAATGGCATTAACATTAAAATATTGGCCTATGCAGATGATATAGTTTTAATTGCCGACTCAGTTAGAGGCTTGCAGGGATTTATTAATGTTTTGGACAAATATTTACTAGAAAATAATATGAGCTTGAATATTATTAAATCTAAAGTTGTTGTTTTCCGTAATGGTGGTAAACTTGTTAAATGGGATAAATGGTGGTTTAGGAAAGATGTAATACAGGTAGTTTCCCAATATAATTATCTGGGTGTCGTATTCAGATTTAATGGTAAATTTAAATATCATATTCAGACTGTTAAAAAGAATGCCTTTGTTAAAACTGATAAAGTTATTCAAATGTGTAGATCGGTGAAATTGCGAAATTTGAAAGATTGTCTAAGGATTTTCAATTCAATTGTTAAATCATCCATGTTATATGCATCTGAGGTTTGGGGATACCAATATGACGAGTTGAATCCGGTCTTGGTTAATTTTATAAAAAAGTTATTTGGTTTGTCTCGTTGCACCCCAAATTATTTGATTTTTATGGAATGTTCGATATTACCTTTGTCTTTTACATTATTGAATAAATGTTTGAACTGGACTTTCAGGACTATTGCATTGGATGAAAAACGATGGAGCAGAATATGTTTGTGTTATGTGCTTAATAAGAGGGACTTTCTGTGGGCTAAAAGTTTAAGAAAAATTTGTGTTAATAATAGTATTAATTTTGATGAATTATTCAATAAACATGATAGTTGTTCTATTTTGAAATTAAATTATTTTGATAACTTTATTCTGGATTTGAATCAACGCATTAATGCAAGCTCTTATAATGATTGGTACAAGCACTTAAATAAATCTTTTTTTGATTGTTCGCTTTATAATAATAAATTTTCTCTAAATATTGGTGCCACAGTAATGCAAATCAGATGTAATTCCCTTAATTTTTTACAGAATTATCGCAGAGAAATTTGCATGTATTGTCAGGATGATCAGCTATTGGATGCTTTTCACGTGATTGCTAAATNCTCACCAGAAACCTGCTGTAACTCCTCAATATCCTGCTCGTCTACATCTTCTAGTCCTGCTATATCGATTAGGTTGAGTTTGGTCAACCTAACGATACAGCAATAGGCTTCTCTTGTTGAGAATTCTTGGATACCTTCAGCCATAACTTCTTCCACACTTTGTTTGCACATTTATCAGTTAATTCTTGCCAAGCGAAGTCAATATTTCCTATGGCATCAATGATGTTATATATTTTTCAAAAATTGCACCAAACAAACATAGATTTAAAGAAAATACTCCTTTTTGCCATCTTTTGCTGATTGATTTGTGCTTGCAAATATTTGTATTATGTACGAATTAACGAAATACTGCAATAATTTAAATCAGTGTACATTTGGAGCTCTTTTTAGACTTTGAGCAGCCGCATTATATCGAATCAGCATTAAGTGAAGTAGCATTAAGTTGGGTCTTACTGTACTTTTATTTTTTTGGCCTGAAATTAATCAAGAATGGCACAAGACAAAACTTGAGATGAATATTTTTTGAACTAGGTCAATCCTTCATTGAACTGTTTATACAAGAAATANACTATTGCATTGGATGAAAAACGATGGAGCAGAATATGTTTGTGTTATGTGCTTAATAAGAGAGACTTTCTGTGGGCTAAAAGTTTAAGGGAAATTTGTGTTAATAATGGTATTAATTTTGATGAATTATTAAATAAGCATGATAGTTGTTTTATTTTGAAATTAAATTATTTTGATAATTTTATTTTGGATTTGAATCAACGTATTAATGCAAGCTCTTATAATAATTGGTACAAGCACTTAAATAAATCTTTTTTTGATTGTTCGCTTTATAATAATAAATTTTCTCTTAATATTGGTGCCACAGCAATGCAAATCAGATGTAATTTCCTTAATTTTTTACAGAATTATCGCAGAGAAATTTGCATGTATCGTCAGGATGATCAGCTATTGGATGCTTTTCACGTGATTGCTAAATGCTCTAAGTTAGAAAAAATTCGGGAAAGTGTGATTGGAAGTTCTATTATTCCGTTGGAGAATTTTTTGGAACTTATTACTAATTTAAGTAATTTGGATTTAATCAATTTTGTTCAAAAGATTAAATTATTTTTTAGGTAATCTTTGTTGATTTTTATTTTGTTTTAGTGACCCCTTGTACGGAGTGACATACATCGTTGTTTATTTTGCATATTGGAGTATTTGTTTTGCCGAAAGGTGGCATTTGTTTTTTTTCCTTAAAAGTGTGCTTGTGGCTAAGAAGTGTTGGGAGACTATCCACATTTTGGATAAGATAATTGAATCCTTTTTCTTTTATAGGTGGGTGTAATTAATGTTTTTTTTTTCTTTCTTTATATAATGATGATTTTGGTTGGATAGTTCTCCCCATGATGATTTTTGTTATTACGTTATATGTTTATATTTAAATATTTGGCTTTCAGATATTTATTTTTCAGATATTTATTTTGATGTTTACAATAATACTTGTATAATTTGTTTCATTTTGATTTATGTATATGTTAATTTTCTCTGTAATAATGGATGGATTATGATATTTTTTGTGTAATGTACATGTAACGAATTATTGTATACCCCGCATCATGGGCTCTGCCTAGTATGTCTAATTAAATAAATAAATAAACATGATAAACATGATATTATTGCCATCACTGAAACCTGGATAGCTTCTGAAATAGTCTACAATTCTACCTTCTTTGAAAAATTTACAATAGAGTCAGTTTTGGCAAAAAAACCAATAGGTCCAGGCTCCCAAGTGGAGGTCTTTGCATATTAATGAAAAAAGGTCTGCAAAATTTTACAAAGAAAAAAATCTAATAATTTCATTTTGTTCCTAATTCAAATCATTAAACCTACTCTTGCTAATATTACGAATAATTTAATAACTTTAATGCTTACTTATATTCCACCTGACGACATAATAGCTTTGGTGAATTCAAAGCTATTATTGAATTTACTAATTCAATAATAGCTTTGAATGAAATAACTAAACAAATGGAGATCTGGCAAAATATGACTCCTTATTCCATAATTTTGGGCAATTTCAATGCAAGAATTGTGGATAATATGGACTTTAAATATAAAGGTAATAATTATTTAACACAAAACAACCGTCTCTCAAAGGATAAGCATTTAAACAGACTTGGACAAAAATTAATCAATGCAATAATTAATCTCAAAATGTATATAATCAATGATAGAATTAAATCTGATATACCTGCGAAATTTACATGCTTAACCCATACTGGAAAATCATCTATTGACTTTACAATATGCTCAGAATTATTGTTAGATTGCTGCTTGGATTTTACAGTTATTAATTTTGATATCTCTGATCATTTTCCCACAAAGACAACTTTTTTTGGAAAAAAATTCTGATAATTCATGATATAAAAAACAAAGAATACAATATAAAATAAATAGATATGCTAATGAATTTGGAAATCGATTTGAAGACATTCTGGAAGTTACAGATAACAATAGTGAAGAAATATACAATTTAATGATAAATTTAATAAATGATTACATATATATGAATAATGGCAGAAGGAGGCTTTACAATGGTCCTGGACAAAGATGGTTTGGCTTTGATTGCTACAAAATGAAATGAGAAAAACAAGCTAAACTAAAAATATTCTGATCGAATTCTAATGATACCAATTTCAATGCCTACAAAGTAGCTAAAAGAGTTTACAATAACTTAATAAAGACAAAAAAGAAAAATTATTTTAGAAAGCTTGAATTAAATCTAATTAATTATAACAACAACAACAAACTATTTTCGTCTACCGTTAGAAGATATCGATCTACTTCTTGCAATAATGAAAACTCACCAATTATTAACTTTGATACCTGGAAAGACTCTACCAACGTTACCCAAGAATTTATTTAAATCCTTCAATAATAAATAATGCAATAGTCTACAATGATTACCTGGACACTGACTTCACAATTGATGAATTAAATGATGTTATCCAAAAACAAAAAGAACTCAACCCCAGGTCATGATAACATTCCTACAAAATTCTTAAAAATGTTGTCTAATAGCTCTAAATTAAAATTACTTAATATCTTCAATATCATATACAAAACAACTTCTTTTCCCGACTCCTAGAACACAGTTATTTTAACAATGCTGTACAAAAAAGGCGACAAGTCCTCTCCACATAACTATAGACCTATTGCTCTGTTATCAACATTAAGAAAATGCTTTACTTCTATGATGGCAAACAGATTCCAGCAATGGACTAAAATGACTTAGAAGCTAAATTTCAATATGCCTTCACAAAAAATAAAGGAACCGAAACTGCCATTTTTATTCTATTAATGATAACCCAATTACATCTTATGAAAAAACAAAGGAAAGTTTACGCTGCATTTATTGACATTAAAAAGGCTTTTGATTCAGTTTATACTCCTTTACTAATAAATAAATTAAAAGTTAATGGGGTTAGTCACAGATTTATGTCTACAATAAACCAGCTATATATAAATTATACTGTCAAAATTAAGCAAAGCAATACCCTTACTCCTTCTTTAAGCCTTTCATGTGGAATACTCCTGGGAGACCCACTGTCACATATTTATTTAATCTTTATCTACTGGGTATCAACAAATTATTTAACAATCCTTCTGATGGCATTGAAATTAATAATAGCTCTTTCCACTACATCCTTTTTGATGACGATCTTGTTATTATAGCCCCAAATAAAATATCTTTACAACATAAAAATTAATCAACTCAACAACTATCTTAAAACAATTTATCTTGAAATAAACCCTGAGAAAACTAATATCGTCATTTTCCGCGAAAATAAAAAATTATCTGAGAAAGACTCAAAAATTTATCATGAAAATACTTTATTGCAAATAGTCAACGAGGTCAAATATCTGGGGATCGAATTCGATTGGAATTTAACTTTCAAAACCCATATGACAAAATTAAATATCAAAGTTAAAAAAGCAATTGATAATCTCATATTTTTATGTTCAACTATGAAAACCTCAAATTTAAATATCCATCTGAAACTCTATAATGTTAGGTGTATTAAGTGCTGGGCTTGGATGTCACACCAACAGTTATCTCAATCAAAACTTCTTCCAAAACTTCAGACTATGCGGCGTTAAATATAATTAAAAATATTTTAAAATATATTTAACGCCTCATAGTCTGAAGTTTTGGAAGAAGTTCTGATTGAAACTCTATAATACTATAGTAAACCCTATCATCTATTATGCAAGCCCAATTTGGGCCTTGGATTATTTATACAAGCTTGAAACTCTGCATATCTACTTTCTTTGTAAATTATTTCAGCTAGAAAATACAATTCCTGGATACGCTATTCGACATGAAACAAGCCGTACTTGGATTTTACCACATTTACTTAAACGTATTATAAAATTCTATTACAGACTCAAATATAAAAGTGATGATAATATTAGATTTTTACATCAAGAAATGATAAAGCACAGCAAAAATGACAATAATAAGCAATTATGGCAATATAAAATTTGTAGACTATTAAACACATTCAGAGTATCAGAACTATTTTTTATAAACTCAATTCAAGACTGGAAATGCGGATATTCCCTTTTAATAAGCTCTGCAATATTGCAATCAATTAACAAAGATCAGTTTTCTCTAAATCAAAGCAACTATCATCCCTGGTATATTTTAATATTCTTAACATTCCCTCTTTTCAACCTTATATGTAGTTACCAATAGATCTAAATGTTAAAACAATTAATTATTCAGTTATGACTCAATAAATATTCGCTGTTCGTTAATAAAACTTACATAAATCTCTCAAATACGCGTTGCCAATTATGTCAATCCGAAGATTTTTCTGTACCCCATCTTTTCCAAAATTGCCAATCTCTAAATAATCTGCGTAAACAATACAATTTAATAAATATATGTAACGGTAGTTCATCTCTAGACTTAAAAAATAACTTAAATAATATCAATAGAAAAGAT